TCTCCGCAGGCCGGCTGGCGGGACGGGCAGAGCTCCGCTGGCACAAGCCGTGGCGTCAGCCCATGGCCTGGTTCTCACCGCTGTCACCGGTATCGCGGGGTGGGAGAGCCCTGACACACACCGGTGACATCTGTGCCAAAGGTGACTCCACAGGGACGTTCGGTTTTTGGCCGGCGATCTGGGCCAGCCTTTAATTTGGGGGTTTATTTGTGAACAGCCGTAGTCACTCCTGCGGTGGTGGTGAAGTCGTGAAGTTGGCAGCGCGGTAAAGCCAATCCTTCGGGTCATGTTTGATCTCCGGCAGCTGAAAGTGCCGAATAAAATTTTCATGTGAATTTAACTACGTTTTGGGATTGATGGCATTAAGATCAGCATTCTTCAAACTGAGACCATTTTTCTATTTTAGTATTGAAATAGAGACTTATTTGAAAAGACAGTATATTTTTTAAAGGAAAAAATGATCGAGGCTGGACACTCTTGCATCAACGCTTCGTTTTTTACTAATTTGCTGTACAAGATTACTGTGTAAAATAGGGTATGAAGAGAAGCCTTTTGTATACACATTGCGGTGGGGTTTTTATACGAGAAAATTGAACAAATAACTATAAAAGAAAAATTTGTGTAACCTCTCTGTTATTAATTTTATGATATTACATGCAAAATGGGTTACAGTTTTTATTATTGGAGGCTGAAGAAGTAACGTTTTACTGAAAGGAGTGTAAAACTTGGTGTGCCTGAGGTGATCAAGGTCACTTGAAATTGGTTTTTTTTGTATGAACAAGCAGGAAAATGCGTATTCAAGACTGACTTAATTAAAGTTCTGGTGTTTAGCTATGGAAAGCCCACAGATAAACTTCCCTCTAGGTCTAGTTTCAGACCAAAAAAGGAGTGGGATCCAAGAGGATGGGAGTCCTCCATTAAAAAAAGCGATGACAGATACACATGTAAGTAGCAAAGTACGAGTTGCGATAAATAAATTGCCAACAATAAAGAAGGAAAACTTGGACGAATATGACGAAACTCCTGTGGAGGCTGATGCGGAAGCCGCCAAGCCAAACAGTACTTCGCTATGTGAGCCTTTGAATTTAAATCCAGGTTTGAAACACACGTTGGCACAGTTCCACTTAAGCAGCCAGAGTTCACTGGGTGGACCGGCAGCTTTTTCAGCTCGTTATTCCCAGGAAAGTATGTCGCCCACTGTCTTCTTGCCTCTTCCGTCGCCGCAAATACTTTCTGGCCCACTGCTCATTCCTCCGGACAGCTCCACAGAACTCACCCAGACTATGCTGGAGGGGGAATCTATCTCTTGTTTTAAAGTCGGAGGAGAAAAAAGACTTTGCCTGCCTCAAGTGTTGAATTCAGTTCTCCGAGACTTTTCGTTGCAACAGATCAATACAGTGTGTGACGAACTGTACATCTACTGCTCAAGGTGCACTTCCGACCAGCTTCATATTCTGAAGGTTTTGGGAATTCTTCCATTTAATGCTCCATCCTGTGGGCTAATTACGCTGACTGATGCTCAGAGACTATGCAATGCTTTACTACGTCCTCGCACTTTTCCGCAAAACGGCAGTTTTCTCCCTGGTAAGAACAGCTTGGCCCAACTGAAAGAGACTGGCAGTGCCTTTGAAGTCGAGCATGAATGCCTGGGCAAGTGCCAGGGGTTGTTTGCACCTCAGTTCTACCTTGCGCCGGATGACCCGTGTATCCAGTGTTTGGAGTGCTACGGGATGTTCTCCCCCCAGACGTTTGTGATGCACTCGCACAGATCCCCAGACAAGAGGACCTGCCACTGGGGGTTTGAATCGGCCAAGTGGCACTACTACCTGCATATTAACCAAAAATACCTGGGAACTTCGGAGGAGCGGGAACTGAAGCATCTCTTGGAGGAAATGAAGGAGAAATTTAGCGAGAAAAGTCAGAAAAGAACTCGGTCCAAAGTAAGTTCACCTGCTCTTGTAAAACTCCCAAATCTCTCTGCGCTCACACGTAAATACTTGTTTCAGAAGTGCATTGCTTGCCTTTTGTAAATTGGAATGCGTGTCGCATCAAGCCTAAGTTAAATTTGTGAGAGAGCTTCACCGTTTCTCATTAAAAGATGCGGTAATTTCTTTCTTCTTTGGGCTGCAGGTAACTTCATTCCAGCTGGTTTGGCTTTGTTGGTTCTTGTTCTGTTTTAAAGTATGCAGTCTCTGGAAAATTCAGAGCTATTGTGGAAATTTTTGTTCTCCCATTTGACCTCTGAGTATGTGTTACGCGGTGTGTGTTGCAGCAGCTGAGCAAAGCAGAAAGGAGCTTGAAAATCAAGTATTATGAATTAATTCTTCATTTGTTATTTTTACTTCAGCACACACACGTGCGGTGTATGGAAACCTGGCTTGCTAACCACCCATCTCATGACTTTGCATGCAGGGTGATGGTGCATTGATAAGTTGCTATTTAGAAGCCCAAAGTCTGCTTGTTCAGCAGTAGCTTTCTGTTTAAGCCACTTGTGTAGAGAAACGTGCCAAAAAGAGGGGGTTTTAAACAGCTCAAGTAATGAGCTGTAGGCCGGTATCTTTGACAATGGTTAATAATAGATGTTGTATTTTTTCCTAAAATATTGCTGTAAGTCTGTGCTGTGGTTCAAAAATACAGAGATTATTTTTCCCCTAAAGAGCTTCTGCTTCAAATAATAAGGCAAGCACTAGATAAGTATTGGACATCATAGATGTTTCCATTCATAGAAAGTACAATTTTGGGGGTATAATGTAAACTTAAGAGGTTTTTAAATGGTTTCTGCCCTGTGACAATGTTCCTTTTCAGCGCTTTTGGCATTTATATGTCTGTTTGATGGCTGCTGTTTTGATAATATATCCAGTTTGCATGTTGAATGTTTTGTGGTTGATTTCAAAATAGCAGCAAGAGCAGTCCAGATGGTTGAGCCCGTAAAGGTGTGCGAGAAGTGGACACCTTTCAGCATAAACTTCTGAAAACTTGCTATTGCAGAAAGGCCTACTGTAATAACAGGTATTTTTGTGGTTGTACCAGTCTACAGTAAGGGATTTTAGAACAAAATTTGCATGAAAGTCTGCAGTGTGGCATGCTTCCATGTGATGAATTAGTTGAAGATACAGACAAGTTCATTGCAAGGAGACTTTGCTTTTCCTCTGATAAAGACCTGGCAGTCTTCATCCTTGCAATGCCAGTGTAGGTAATAAACTATAATGTGGTGGATGGATGAGTGGAAGTAGTCTTCCACGTTCGTACCTATAGTGCTCCTTCCTTTTTCATAGTAGCAGATTTCAGACCACGCAATCTTTCATGTGTACAGATCAAAAAACCAGCTGAAATTAGCAGTAACAGTAATTTGGACTGGACCAGTGCAAATGAGATACAAAAACTTTCTGGAGTCTTCTGTTGCAGACCCATGTAATTCTTTCTTACAAAGCAGCATATGAAATATGAGAAACCGTGGAAACTGTGAGTTTGCTTTTTTTGTCCCATGGATGTTTGTCTGGAAAGCACAAAAGATTAGAAGAGTTTAGTAGGGGAGTGTTGGAGCACAGCCCCTGTTTTCTTGTCCTGGGGAACCGTGGTCTGCTTTCTTTCCCTCATTTCTGTGGCGTACAACGTGTAGACATTCCCTTTTCTTACACTCCTAGGGAGATTTATTTGCAGGATGTTCCATTTGCCGTTCTGTCACCTTCTTACCACCTTTGCTGAGTCAGTCCTCAGAAGTGCCAGCTCATCTTTGAGGTTTCTTTGGAGGGCCAAGGAAGAGCAGTTGATGTTGGCTAGGTCTTTGTCCATCCAGTAATAATAAATTGTTAATTACATCCTGTAGTCTTTGGTGCATCCTAGATGCTGTGCACTGCCTTTCTCCTTAGCATTTCCCGCTGAGTTTACTCACCTCAAAAAGCAAGTACGCGTTTGCTTTCATTATTTTAAAAGCAGACAATGGAGGCCCTCACCTGCTGTACTCACAAGGTTAATTCCTTCTGTTCTTTGTGCTAATGAGAAAGCTGTAAGCTGTATATTTGATTGTCACAGATTTTCTCCTTTTCCGTTGAGTTTTAGACTGCAGTGTGACATCCACCTGCTCTGCAACGGAGCAGCTGTCGCTGAGCCGCATTCGCTTTGACTTTGTGACAGCTTCTGATAATTGCTCTGCACTAGAACTTTGTCTTCCTTCTCAGACGAAGTCCTTGAGTTGGTCACCGTGCATGGGGAGAAGCTCGCCATGTGGAGAGTTACCGTTTCTTCTGAGCATTTTTATAAATCCCATCTCCACTAAAACTGCAGGCTTAATGATTAGGCTGAAACTACTACTTATCTGTATTTTTTTTTTTCTTAAAAAACAGCTTTGTACAACTAGCTTTAGAAGAAAAATAAGGCGTACTTTCATGTAGCCCTTTCAAACAATTTAGGTAGAAGTCATTCAATGAATTTCAAGTTTACTTGGATATATTGCATTTACATAATTCTTTAAGAGCATCTAAACTAAACAGATTGTTAGGTAAAGAAATATACCTGTACATGTTGAAGTAGATGCTTTATCTCTGTTCTATTAACCTGTATGATGAGGGAGGAATAGGGTTAGAAAAAGATTTAATGTTTATTTACAATTATCTTTCGTTTTCTTTCCTAAGTAAAAATTTGATTGCATGTTATGTAATTCATTTGCAAAATGCACGCTGATGGGTAGACACTACAGCTGGTTTCCATTTGAAATAGGTGGGAATGTAAATATCTGACCTGGTAGCTTGAAAATACAGGTTATGTGATACATAATTCCATAAATATACAAACATGTTAAAATGTGAGTCCTAAAAGATGGACAAGATGTGATTCAGAAGTTAAAATTGGATTACTGTGGACTAGCTATAATATAAGTAGAAGAATATATGTACATTATTTAAATTATTAGAATGATCTGCACAAGCAGAAAAAACTTGAGAAGTGTCAGGATGAGGTCATTTTTCATTTGCTGTGTTTCAAATCTTTATTATTTAAAGGCTTGATTATGAATTTACTATTCTGGAGCTGAGCTTTCTTGTGCCCCGTCCTTTCTATCGGCATTGGAAGTGATTTGAGGCACTGCAGGGGTCGAGTTAAATTTCAGTTTCATTGCTAGAGCTGAATTTAGTGGGCTGGAAGTTTTGAGCAGGACATTGTAGGTGGGATTTGGTCTTTCTCATTCTCAAGTGGCATTGGATTCTGCAGACCTTGATATTAGCCACACCTGTGTAATTGGGTACTCTCTTGACTGCCAGAGACTAAATTCTGTGACAGTGTATTTCAGGGTGTGTAAATATAAACTTTTCTGATGTATGTTAGCATGCTAGATGAAGCTTTCCATACAGTAGGATATTTTATTTTAGCTTTATGGGCTTTTCATTTTTTTTTTTTTTCAATTGAGCACCTTTCCAGAGGTACTGGGTCTGGCTGCCGTGGTGTTAACTTTCTCCATAGCAGCTGGTATGGTGTGGTGCTTTGGATTTGCGGCTAAAACAGTGTTGGTAACACCCCGGTGTTCTGACTGCCACTGAGCAGTGCTTGGGCAGTGTCAATGCTTTCTGTTTCGTACTCAGACCCTGCAGCAAGTAGGCTGGGGGTGGGCAAGAGACCAGCAGGGGCCAGAGAGAGACTCTGTACTTTAGAATGTCATGCTCAGCAATAAAAACTGGGATATAAGGAGAAGAAAGAAGGTCTTGGCATCCGAGGTGGATGCTGTTTGGAGACTGGCTGGGCATCAGTCTGCCTGTGGGAGGTGGTGAGCAACAACCTTTGCTTCACTTGGTTGGCTTTTTTTTTTTCTTTTTTTTTAAATCTTTCCTTCACCTATTAAATTGTCTTTATCTGGAGCCGTGAGCTTTATTGCTTTTGTCCCCATCCCCTGGGGGTGGTGGTGCTTGGCTGTGTGGGTGCTTGGCTGCTGGTTGGAGTCAACCAACCACACCTTACCCGAAAACCCACTTCCCAGGGCTATTTTAATACAATGAAATTAAGAATCAATTTCTTAGCTATGAGTCTTGTTAAATATATGAGGAGACACCTTTCACTTGAAGTTAGTAGTAACTTTGCAGCGGAGCACGAAGTATCACCAGTAACTTTGACAAAGAGCAATTCCAAAACAGTTTATTGGGACAAACAGAACAAGAATTGGTATCCAAATACAAAATGCACAGAAGTTTTCCAAGATTATGTATGCTGATGCATCTGGATTAATTTTGTTTGTTACTACAAAGGAAATAGAGCTGCCGTGTTGCTGCAGCAGCTTTGCCAGCTTCTGTAATAAGAATTTGTGACAACAAAAGAAAGTTCTGTCTCTCAAACACTCGTAATTGTTCCATTTTATTCATAGGTTTTATGCTTTTATTTTGTAATAAAGTATCTGGCAAGTGCTTACTGTGATGTGGAGACTTCATTGCAAAAGGCTCCTACAGCCTTTTGAGAATCCTAGTTTCTGCTTTCTGCAGCACACCTCTGGCAGAGTGCTGGAAACTCGACAGAGCTTTCGTGTAGGTTTGTAAAGAGATTTTCTTTTAATTTCATTGCTACTTCACCCTTAATGGGAAATTGGAGATCAAAGAAACTTCTGTGGCTTGCGTCACCCTGCATCTCTGCCAAAGACTCTGCATTTTCCAGTACTCCAGCTTTTCTGGTGTGTATGTATTAATGGTGCAAATGCCATTCCACTGAGGAGCGTGGAATGTACGCATCTTCCAGTTACCAGTTTATTACCTTTACTTTAGGCAGATTCACAGCAGAGCCTGGACTTGTCGCAGTGGTATCCAGTTATCAAGCAAGAAGCAGAAACTGATCCTCAGCCACCCTCCTTTCTCCATCCCAGGTAACTGAATTTCCTGTGCAGAACTATGAGCACCATATGTACGAGTTAAATACTTTTGGCTATTTAAACATAATTTCAACTGAAAAAAAAGTACTTGCAACCTGAACTGTTAGGAAAACTCCAAGGGATTGCACAAGAATAACTGAACCCTAATTTTTTATGCGTTTCTTGGTGTAAATATTAATGAACTGCTTATGAGTGATTTTTGGTATGAGACTCAAGCTGTGATCTACGAGTGTTCTTCAGTAGCAATACAATTGAAATGTAATTACATTTTCCTTTTACAGAGTAGAAATGACAGAAGGTATTTTTTGATCTTTCCTATTATAACGTAATGCATGCATGTGGAAGGCTGCCTAGGGCCTATTTACCATGAGTGCAACTTGATTTCCTTTCAAAAAAGACTTGTAAAAGGAGTTTGAAGACTTCACACTGGAACATAGCTACCACTGAACTGTCTGTTTGTTAGTTTCCTGGTTTTAGAAACCAGGTGCATTTCCTTAACTTAGTACAAAGTTTATCATCTGCATCAATGAGGGAATTGTTTTTTCTTGACATACATCTTACCCTCATCCCTGTGTGGTTATGCATTTACCGTATACGGGCGAGATCAGCCTCTTTTGCGAGCAGCATGCAGTAAAGCAACACGTGCATCAAACTGGTTCCCATGCAGACAAGTGAATGGTGGAACTGCTGTGATTGTCCCTTGGTTTGCTGTTTCTGTTGGTGCCTTCCTTCAGAACTAGGAGAAAGGAAGGCGCTGAAGACAACAATGTTGACTCCAGCATCGTGACATGGGTTATCTTGGCACTGACCTTAACACATCTGGCACTCTTCCCTCTGTACTAGACAAAAGCTGAGTGGCTGGCTTAGGGTGGTACAGGAGGATGCTCCTAGGAGTCCGGGAGCTGTGAAAGTCCAGACAGACTGTTCAATATTTGTGAGAAGGAAGGTCCAGCATTGATCTCAGACATGCCCCAGCACTGTCAGTACACAGCTTTGCTATTGAAAGAGTGATATGCTCGTCCCCGCTACACTGATCGCTTCCCTCGTCCTCTGTTGCTAATATAAGGATTGTGAAAGTGCTGGAGAGTCTGGATTCAGTGGCATTCGAATTTCACTCTTTGTATGTAATTGAACACTTCATATGATTTTCTATAGGTTTTTTTTATCAGCCATGTTTGAAAAATCCTCGTGTTTGATAGCCTCAAAACCTTGTCTAGATAATCTACTTAGTAAAGATTAAGTGGATCATTAGGATTTCCTTTTGCATAGGAAAAATTTAAAGAGGACGTGCTTATTTTTCATTGAAACCTTTACAGTTTAAAATGACGTTAAATTAAACGTACTGCCCTCTACCAGTTATTGTTTATTATGCCTTACCTTTCATTCTTTATTTTATTATTCTACTGTTTCAGTTACTACCTTTATATGTGTGATAAAGTGGTTGCCCCAAATGTATCTCTTGCATCACAATATAAAGATGTTTCAAAAACAACAGTCAAAGCTTCAGAAGTAATTAAATACTCACCTGGACAGTCAGAGAAGAAGCTCAGTAGTGGAAAGCACAAAAAAGCTGCCTCCTATCCAGAGCTTTCTCTTGAAGAACAGGAAAAAATTGACTTGAAAACTGGTGTGGAGCAGCATAAACGTTTAGGTAAGTAGTGGAAAATCACATTGTAGTCTTTTCAATGTTTATACCATATAATTTTGGAAAGCTCAACACCAAGCTAGTATTTTGTGGTGTCACTTCAGTTTTCTAAAAATTCTTTTGATGGTTTTGTAATCTTCCATGTTCTTCGCATTTTTTCACTCCGGAAGCTTAATTTTCTGTGATTATTGTGCTATGTTCTTTTCTGTGCAGATCCAGCTGTCTCAACTCGTTCTGCAAGAGGTGGAAAATCTGAACGTATTTCTTCCAAAATCGCTAGAGATGCTAGCCGAGTTGAAGTGGGAAATGACGCGCGAACCTTGTCCCCCACTCTCATGAAAGACATCAGCTGCGAAGATGACAAGGGGAGGATCATGGAAGAAGTGATGAAAACCTACATGAAACAGCAAGAAAAACTAAATACTATTTTGCGGAGGAAACAGCAGCTTCAAATGGTACAGTGCCAATCTGAGTGCATTTCACTTTTGTCCTCAGAAAACTGGTTGGTTCTAGAATCAATAGCACAGATTACATTTATTTATAAACACCAAAACACACAGATAATTCACCCCCCGGCTTGAATCCAGACACCAAATTTTTAATATCCCTTAGGCTCAGTAGGTTCAAGTCCACTATTAATTGGTGCCTTTTCAGTTTGCAACTACTCTGTTCAAGCAGCTCCTGCTTTTATTTTATCCATATGAAAACTACTTCTTTCACTTTAAAATGTTCACCAAACATTTAACTATTTTGGCAAATATAGTTTAAGTCCTCTAAAATTTCTCAGTTTTCAGGATTTTAAAGATGCAGACATCAATATTCTAGAAATGATTTAATCGCTGCCCTGTATAAAGAAGGCTACCACCTTCCTATTTCTATTTGATAAGCCCTTGTTTTTAGGGGGGGTTTACTGTTTTGTTTTGTTGGTTTTTTTTAATAATGGATGGCCTTAGAAGCTAGTGTCCACTTGTGATTTTGCCTCATTTCTGTTTTCTGCAATAACATCCTGTCTTTGCTTCTTACATTCATATGCCAGACCTGGTGGTTTGTTTTATTTTATTTAACGTTAAGCTCGGAATCTGTGAGCTCAGATAGGACCCTAGAGCTGCTACTTTGAAGTTGTTCTGCTGTTGGAAGTAAAGCCTGTAGATAAGTTAAAAAAAAACAATACACAAAGAGTTAAAAAAAATATCAAAATGCTAGTGGAAAACGAAATCAAACACAGTTATTCTGTTTTCTGATAATCCATTTCTTTCATCTTCAAAGTATATTTTAGTAAATCAGTGCTGCTGCTTCTTGAGGTTCACTGCTGGAAGTTGTGAATCTGATTCTGGAAGCTCCATGTACTTGGAAGTATAAATAATTTCTTTATATTGAAATGTCTGCTACAGAGTTCAAGGCAACCATTGATAAGTAAATAATATTATCAGGCTATTGTTATCGGTAGATAAATGTGCTCTCTTTGGCCTCGTTGTTTCCAGATAAACATTTAAATTCATTTTTTTACTTTTCCGGTCTTAGAACCAAGGTGTATGTGATCTTGATTTTTCTTGACAGGAAGTGGAAATGTTAAGCAACTCTAAAGCTATGAAGGAATTAACTGAAGAACAGCAGAATTTACAAAAAGAACTCGAATGTTTGCAAACAGAGCATGCTCAAAGAATGGAAGAATTTTATTTTGAGCAGAGAGACTTGGAGAAAAAACTGGACCAAGTGATGAAGCAAAAGTGTAGCTGTGACTCCAATTTAGAAAAAGACAAAGAAGCTGAATATGCAGCACAGGTGAGAAAGAAAAGTTTGTTTCAAACCAAACCGTATTTAGTGTATCAGGAAAGTGTGAAGCTGTTGCTCAGCCACTTTAAGGTTTCGTCTTTTCTGTGTGTACTGATATCATAGACTCATACCTAAATAGGTCACAGTGACAGCAATATTTATTTCCCTGTCTCTTGATTGAAACTGAGGTAGAATGCAACTTACAGAAACATTTCACCTGTCAAGTGTTAGTTGTAAGAATAAGCTATTTGTCTTTTTCTTCCTTTTATGGTAAAAAAAAATCCATACCTATTAACCACTTTTTTGTCACGTTAGTAGCATACCATGCTGCTTTTTCTGTTCCTTGGTAGAATATGCTGCACTATCTGATGACCCCCCCCTTCTGTGCTCTGTCAAAGCATTTGGAAATGAAAATCATGCTTTTGTCTTCCGTTTCTGCCTCTTGAGTTCATATGTCAAAACCTACGGAGACATTTTTTCTTTCTTTTCAACTTTTACTATTGCTTTCTTCATGTTGGAGGTTATTGATGTCATTCAAATGGGAAATATCTAGTTAATGCCAAAGGGAGCCTTGGAATGCGCCTCTTCAGAATCGGTTGCAGTTATGATTAAGTGTATACGGATGTGTTTTGTACTGTGTCACAGAAAACTAGTCTTCACAGGTCTGTTTTTTTTTAAAGTAAACAAAATCTGAAACTGAAGCTCAGAAAAGCTTTGTGGTTATTTGATCATAGCTGTGTGTATTTCCTGTTCTTAGTGTCTCAAACTAAGAAGCAGGAAGTACTTGAGAGACAGGTTTTGGTATTTTTCGGGAGTAGGGCAGAAACTAGTGTAGTAAATCCTTCTCATTAATTTAATTTCATGGCATCTCACTCCACAGATTCCTAGCCTTTGCTGCCAGAAATAATCCTCTCTAAGGCCTGGTTTACTAAACATCTGGTACAAGCCCTGTTACTGCAAGTAGCAACATGTTCTAATTTATGAAGATAATCATGTATAGCGTGTTTATATGATGTAGCTTACTTTCCTTAGAGGGTAAAAACCATAGGTTGTTCCCCAAGGAGAAAATGGTTGATTGTTTCTTTTGAAGTTAGACTTTGAAAACTTAAATCCATTCCTTGCATCAAAGTTTACTCTGTTATTACTTGTGTGGTAGAGCTATTCGCAACATAACAATTTGAACATTTTTCTCCATTTATCACATCTTACTATAGATTTTGGACCCTAGGTTCCAAGCAGTTGTCAGAAGTACCCGAGTTAAACAGAGGTCCTGGCAACAGGTAACTTCCTCAAGCTGTGTATACAGCATTGAAAAAAAGCCTTAATCCGATGTCCTCTTGAAGGGGTTGCCTAGGCTGCTCTTTCTCTCTGAGAACTGTGGACTGGGAGGAACCCGCTTTGTACATTAAACAAAATTAATAATTTGGGATCTGGAACTCGTTTAAATGTCTGTCCTTACTTCTAGGCCTGCCTGAAGATGCACTAAGTGTCTTCCCCCCCCTTTTGGACTTCTCTGTTTAATTGTTGCTTTACCCTGTCAATCACGATAGAGGAGTATAACCAGTGCTGGAACCTTCCCTTAGAGCTGGAAATCAAAACTCAGCCAGAGATGCACTTACGTAGTACATGCTGTAACATGCAGGCAGTGGGCATTATCGTACTGCACCAGTTCACTTCATCAAAGCAGTGGAGTCGGAAGACTTACATTAATTTGCAAGCAAAATATTGCTAAGAACCTCTTAAATATTTCTGATTATGCTAAGAAGTGTTTAAATATTTCCAAGTATACAAGTGGACATGAAGAGCCATGGAATGTGGTGTTTCTCTGAAATCAGCACAGCAGTTCTTTTGCCCAGTACGTTTTACAGCCATTGGTGAGCACTGGTGATCCTATATGCTCCTGTGTCTTTCATTCTCATGAGCAGTCTTCCTCCTTTTCAGTGAGATGTATGCTTAGTGATGATTTAGATCTGATAGATACCCATCATTAAAAAGGCAGATGGATTTTTTTAGGTTGTGAGGTCTTTTTGTAAGAAATAACCCTTTAAATCAATGGTAGAAAAGATAACTGATTTCCAGTCTCCTCCCTGTTTTGACTGCTGGTAATATACATATGAGCAATGTCACAGTATCTTTCCTACACTTAAAAAATTCATCAGACGTTTCCAGATCTCACAGTAAATAAGTTTTAATGACACTCCAGCAAGTCTGAGTTTTACTGCACTCCAAAGATGAAAACTTTATTTAAGTTCTGTGTTTAAACACAAGATACTTCACAAAAAATTCTGGGTGGACTCCTGTTTATAGTTGAACACATGCATAAATGCACAGGCAGTTAGGTTCAAGATTTTGTGAATCTCATTTCTGTTAATTCTGTTTCATTTATACTAAAGGATATCAGAAGACAGTGTTGGTGGTTTTGTTTGTTCTAGAAATGCATTCATGCTTTAAAATAAAGATGTAATATTTTGTCAGGTAAGAGAAATGAACCTGGGAAATGAAAAAGTGCTATTTATTCTGGGATTTGTGAAACATCTGATGCAGACATCATCGCAATCTTCCTAACAACTTATATGTATTATTGAAATGGTCTAGTGTGACAGTTCATATAGCTACAATTTATATGTAATTAAAAATTAGACTTTCCTGGTTTTTAGTTATAGTAGGATGTTCATGCAACTGTGCATATTGATGTCATGTGCTGAAGGTGTAGTAGGTAACTGCATAACTCTTGATAACTGTAGAAGATGAGCTGATCAATACTGGTGAACTGAAATATTTATCTGATGCATAGGGTGGTCATCACTGGCACCTTGAAATGAATAGCTGATGTTCACAGATAAGTTTGCTAAACTTTGCTCTGCCTCTCTGTCTCTCCTCTATTTTACAGCTAGCGGAATTGAGACAGAGATTGGATCATGCAGAGGCAGACAGACAAGAGCTTCAAGATGAACTGAGACAAGAACGAGAGGCAAGGGAAAAGTTGGAGATGATGATAAAGGAATTGAAGCTACAGATCTTGAAGTCTTCAAAAAATGGGAAAGGAAAATAGAAATTGGACGAGGAAGCATGACTGCGTCCTTCAAACAGGGTGTTTTGGTTTTTAATGAATTGTGAGCGGTTCTGTGCGATGAGAAAAAGTATTCTCTCCAGATTTCTATTTCCCAGACAAGACCAGATGAAGATATACATATATATAAATAAATAGAGATAGATAGGTATACATTTTTAGATTTTCCTAACCAATGAAAATCTGCATTTATTTGTACTGGTGTTTTTCTCAACCAATGAAAAATACGAAACTCTTGATTTAGAGTGACCAGTTTCTGTCTATTTCTAATGCACTCTTGAGGACTCTATCCCTTTTAACATTGTCTATTAAAATATATGTGATGATCTTTACTTTGCTATCAATTGCACATCCAGTTATAAAAGTACATTAAAAACATTATGAATTCTTCAAGGTCAAAAATAGTTCGGATTTCAGTGAGAATTATATGTTCTCGACCTGGGGAAAGTAAAGGCAGCTTTTCATCTGTAAGGTAATACTCCAAATCACCACAATGATAGATCATTGATCATCGGAAAGTGATTTACCAGCGTGAGTTTTTCCCATAATTTCATTGTGTGAAGTCAAGCTGATCCTATCAGTATTTTGTATTTAACATCTCGTTATCAATCTAGAGAGTTTCAGAGCCAGCATTTGCTTGCCGTGCTGGAAGAAGGAAACGTTACAGGTTTTTTGTAAATTAAAAAATTTACAATTACAATGGAAACTTCGCAAATTAAAAATTCACATATTTTCCTTTGTTTTCTACTATATAGTAGGTATGAAAAAAACGTTAATAAAAGGCTTAAAGGTGGGGCTATTCCTTCTAGAAACCGAGAAAGCTTGACTTAACAGGTTTTCAGATACTAACGCTTTCAAGAAAAATGGTATTTATTAAAAAATATATATTAGTTTCTTTAGTACCCTAAGCCTCCACACTTTGAGCTTCTTGCCAACTTGTGGATTTTTCTTTCATTATATAGAACAGGCCTTAACTGACATTGCGATAATAGCTTAAAAAATAAAGTTCTGAGATACGGCACTTTGAAAATCATTTTGATAGTCTCTGTATTTGAATGGCATGGTAATGTTACCATGAATTAAGAAATACAGCATGTTTGTTAAGCTATAATGTTTGAAAATGTGTAATTGTACAGAATTACTGCTTTATGTATATATAATGTTTGAGTACTTCAGAAGTCTGGTTCCTAGTGGGTTAAATGCATGACTAGAAAGTTGGATGAAGAAATAATTTTTTGCACTTCTCTCCAAAAGGTTTTATACAGCTGACAGATGTCAGCTGATGATGTCAGTGACTAGGAATATTGTAGTAGTTCTAGTATTTCACTACGTAATTTTAAACTGTGCTTTAGCTTCTGTTTTTGAGGTACTTAGGTTTATTATTTTCTTAGTAATTTAGTTAATTTTGGATGAAACCACTAGTAAAATCCTACATTGTTTATTTTTTTTGCTGAACTAGTAAAACTGAGAACTTTTGAGTTCTTTTTTGTTTCTCTTTTAGTGGTATTACAGGACTGAATACCACAGAGAAAGATAAAATTGCACATATCTTTGAATGAGAAATGAGGTGGTAAATTAAATGTCATGGAGTCATAGGATGGTTCTTTTATAGCTGTGTACATTTTTGTTTATGAACCCTGTGTCATATTTACACTGACAATTAAAGCAGGTCAGATGAAAGAAATATCAAACAATTTTCTTTGTCAGTGTTGTTCAGAAAAAAGGACCCAGATTATGTTTTTTCCCTTCTTAAACTCCACCTCCAAATTTTTGCTTGAAGGAAAAAAAAAAAAAAAAAGGAAAAGCCAGAGCAGAGAAGAAAGTGTACAGCAGTTATAGAAGAGAGAATGAATAACAGAAAGCTGTGGGAAAGGAGAATGAATACAAATGCCATTATACTTGGTTTTTTACAGATTCTGGAATAGCCTCAATGACAAAGTATGTAGTTAAATGAATGAATGAGTATATCCAATGGATAAGATATATCAGTAGAGGTCAGAGGCACATAGAATCACCAAGGGGAACAGAATGTGTAGGGCAGGTTCTTAATACCATCACACTGACACAGCATATCCACCTACATTTTTTTGCTTGAAAAAAAAAAAAAAAAAAAAGGCAAAAGCCAGTCTTTGCAGCATGGTTTGGAAGGAAAGGTGCTGACTGTAAATGATTCTGGTTGTGTATGCACCATGTGCTTTAAAAACACAATGTTTTATTGTAACCGCCACCAAAACCATGGCTATAGGTTGAGTAGGCGAGAGTGGCGATAAAAGTGTGGTTATTAGGGAACGGAGCTTGAAGTAGTCCAACTTGGTGGGCAGAACCTACGTTGGATTGGCAAGGCGGGCAAGTGAGGAAACACCGTCCTGGGAAACAGAAACGCTTCGTCCGGGCGTTGTTGCAGGCTCAAAAGAGACCGTTTCTAGTTGCTTTTCAGCATCAGTGTTTTGAACCAGACTTGTTCAATTGTCAGTGTAGGTAAGGCCATACAGACTCTTAATACAGCCGCAGTGACTAATTTACCACAGTATTTATAGCTTAGCTGTTGAATGTATGGAATCCTCATGGGATTATTATATTAGGATACTCTATATTCCGTTTCCATTCAGGTCTTTTCTATGTTACGTGAATTCCGCTCAAATTTCCCCTTTTGCCAGCGGTTGAACTTCAGCGGTGACAGTTGCAGAGGAGTACTGGTATAGCTCGGGTGCCTCAGCCAGTGCTTCAGCCAGCTGTTTACTGGTTTAGGCTGTAGGCTATTAAAATGCTGGGGGCCATAGTTTGTACAAATATTTTCATTGTTGCAAGAACTCGAGCATCTATATGAAGTTTTAGCAATTCCAGCTGCAGATAAGGCCTCCTAATTGTTTTAAAACATCTGTCTGAAAAAGCTAATGGAACGTTTATTAAAATGACTTTAACTTTGTAAATATTCCATTTAGTTAATCTGAAGTTAGAATACCTTTGAAAATATTGTAATCCTCTTCAAATTCTTAAATATTACTTTCAGGCTCTTTACAAAACATAAATAATTTTCATATGTGTAGACTTAATTTTATACTGATTTTAAGTAATAATGTATACATAAATGTGCCATAGATTTTGTGTGTTCACAGTCTTTGAAAGATAGTTTTTTAGTAAATTGTAAATAATACTGTATAAGTTCTAGAACAAATACATGTTGACTTTTTTCCACTACCTTAAACTAGTTATATTGAATGGTTTTTTTACAGCCTAACACAGGAACTTGGAATGCACACTTAAGGGCCCTCACGTAAGTGCACACTTAATGGTAGAAACGAATTCTGTCGTTAGGTCCTTGCTTTTAGTCATAGCATGCTCATTTTATGTATTACTGTTTGTTTTGCTCTCAGTTATTGCTTGCTGATTTTTCAGGCAGGACATTGTTTTGCCAGATAGTTGTGACATGAAGCCTTTAGGAAAAAATCCTAAAATTGTCCGTGATCTTGACAGTTGCATTATTAAACACCTAGACCAAGATCAAAGTTGCCTAGTGCACCTTTCGGAACAAGTAAGTAGGATTTGAGGTGAATATCTAGTTTGCTCCTGTACTTTTTTAGAAGAGAACTTTCACATGCTTTGTCTACTCTAATGAACAAAAAAATAGACGAGCTTAGAGAGTAAAACTCTTGCAATTTTGGCAGTCTGGAAGCACCCGCATAGCTGTGTATCCCTAGACGAAAGAGATTTTTATCTAAATCTCCAAACTTAACTAAGTCTGCGTTTTAGTTTTTGTAAAGCATATCGTTTAGCTTGAGTATTTAGATAAATGTAGTTATGTTTCACATTCTTGAACTAATTTTATTCTATATTTAATATATTAATAGCTTAGGTGTAAAATCATTTGTATATAGTAAAGGCATAATTCAATTAGTGAAGTAGGAAGTGTTGAATGGGAGCATAAAGCTACTGGTGGCCTGAAAAAAGAAGGCTTGGCCCATATTTTAGAAGTCACAACATTTTATTCATGCATTCTTGTTTTATATCAGGGGAGGGGATAGCTAGAATGTGTTATGAAATTTTCTGGAGAACTTTCCTAGCGTTAGTCGTGAAGTTGGCCTTGAAATGCTGTCATGGTCAGCTTCCTAGAATTCACTTGTTTGTAGAGTATATATTTTGACTGTCAGTAAAGATAACAACTTTGTATTTTTTCTGCACTTAATTCGTGTAATTAATCCACACAACAGACTTTTCTATAACATGGAAGTTGACAAAAGACATAATTACACCTACCTGTTAATCTGTGCTTGCAACATTTCAGTACTTTTATTTAAGCTGTCAATAGTCAGCAGCAGAAAGCCACAAATTTGTTTTCTTTTTGCTCGTTACCTTTGCAGTGTGAGTATTCATCAGTTTTCATTACAGAAAGCCTGTAGAATTTTCTGTTTGTTGCATATCTCTGTTTCAAAAGGACATGCGTTTTTTAGCTGTTGTGAACGTCAGCAGTTACAAATTACATGACAATTTTGTAGTTTGTCTCCATTACTTGTAAATTTTTTTTTTTCAGGGTTAGTGGTTCAGTTGGGAAATGCTTGAAAAATGAGTTTTAAGCACTTCATCAAGCACAGCAAACAAATGGTATAAAATTTTGCTATTTGAAAATCAATTAAATGTAACAATAGAAATTGATTTTTTTTTTCTTCAAATATAGATACCTCACTTAAAGGAAGCACAGCTGTACTGTATTTAATTCTAGGAAATAATAAAAAGGTCTAAAATATTTTGTTGCCATTATGTTGCTTTCTGTGATTGACAAAATCTGTTTTTATGTTTTCATACTCACTCTCCAAAGTATTTATTGATGTTGACATGCCAGTATAACTATGTTAGTAAATTACAGAAAGTAGCTGCAAAACAACAGAGTCTGTGTTAGTTCAAGGCAACAGGTTGAATGACTATTCTGAAACCATAGTAAAAACCTGCGAAAAACGGTCAGTGCATTCAACAATTTTTAATACTTTGCCAATGATGTACAGTCTTACTGTTAGAGTTGCTGTGGTTGCATTACATGACACACAAAACTGTCCTCTACCTCACGTGAGATTTAACAAATATTTTATATGGTTTTAGTAAGCAAGATGCATCTATCTGGTCACTTAGTTTACAAATTTTGAATTATATTTATTGAAACATGACATACTGTGCTCTTAGCTTATACCTCAATTGTATTTTGTGCTGTTATCCATTTTCATGCCTTGTAAATACCTGTATAGATTGTGGATTCAAAAACAAATAAAGAACTGTAATGTCAGAACACTTGCCTTCGTAATATTTTTGAACACTGACTTCTAAACTTGACTTTTTGGAAGGCATTTAACAGCGGTGCTTTTCTGAGGAGGACGCAGAGTCTTCCTTGCTTGGAGTACAGTGAATTAAAGCCTGATTACACTGTACTTTGTTAGCAGAACTCCCACTGCCTGCAGCAGGTCCCTGGTTTTCTAAAGGGCATTTTTAGCAAAATCTAAAGCTCTTACAGCTCTGTGAAGGTACTATTGACACCAAGATTTCTATGTATCTTGACATGTCGTTGGTGTTTATATGTGTAAATATAACCACTTGTGTGTTCGGCATGTTCTGTAGTGCACAGCTTTTGTTGCTAGTTGTTTATTCGAGAGGTGTGCGAGTTGTTCATACCCCTCCTTAACAGCTTAGTAATGAACAGGGTAGAAATTCCACATCGCCATATAAAATGCTGAAATTTATA